GGGGGAAAAAAAACTACTTGCCTTTAACTATGTAAACTTGCCTGACAGCGTATAGTTGCAAAGCTTCAAAAACAACAATACTGCTCAAACAGTGAAAAAAAAAGTCACCAAGTATATGCCAAAATACTTTAATTTGCGATTAATTAAAAAAAAAAATCCCTCTTCCTTCGTTTTGCACCTCTCCTTCCCTCTGTACCAAATCCGCCCCTCTAGTTAACCCACATCCTCGCTGTTTCGACGGTCAATTGACCTTGAACTTGAAGCAATTACAGACTACTTAGTTAATTTCCAAAAAACGAATTCTTGGCCTAAAAAGTTTTTTTTTTTTTCAGAAAAGCGACAGATTGTACATCAAAAATGCGCTTACCTGTTCATCGATCTGCTTTGAGCGTGCCTTCGCATTTTGGTCAGTGCTATTCACACAGCCCATTGCGCTATCCTTCACACACAGTGAGTGAACCACGGCACAGCTGCTCGGAGTGCTACTCAGAAGTTCGCAGAAAGGAAAACCATTGTTAAAGCTTCGTCGTCACAAATATGCAGCTAAAGAAAAGACCCCTATCGATTAACACGTGCTGCGTGTAGAGTAAGTTCACGCCATATGGATTTACCGCGTTAAGCAATTAGCAAACTGAGAATCACCAGCAATGGATAAGGGGATGAGCTGCCACCGCATAACGAAACAGAGACAGAGTCTCGACAGTATAACAGAGCTTTGAGTAGTTGTTACAGCAAAAAAACGCTCAAAAAAAAGAATGCTAAAATAGATCCAAGAAATGGAAAATAATTATCTGTGAGCCACGGGCAATTTCGCCAAACTCGACAGCCAACAGACCACGGCGCCATGTTCAATGGGGGCTCCAAATCATCCAGTTTGGTGTCTGTCTGGTATATCCGAAACCAAAAATCACCCGCCGAAGCGTGCATACAGACCCCTTCCAGTGTATTTATAGCAACCGACAGTGCGGGTAAACGTGCACCCCTCCTCACGTCCCGCATCCACCTTATTTCTGCCTGAACTGTATTTCTTGATATGTCAAACCCGAACCGTACGTGGACGTGGATTTTATGCTGTTTGGACAGTAGT